TAGAATAAATAAAAGTTCAACACATACACATGCACATTTTTTCCCTATATTTAGATCAAACCACTGAAAATAAATTTTTTAAAGTACCACTTGTATTGAAACAAAAATATGGAACAAATTAAGGATGAACCTGAGCAAGAGAAGTAGGACTGCTCACTGGAAAATATAAAACATTCTGGAAGAAATCAAAGATCTGAATAAGTAAGAGATGAATTGATTTTATAGTTTCTGAGATTCGTTAACAATGTTTCTCTAAAATGACCTCTGAAGTTAATTAAAATCTAGCAGACTCCACCCACCTTGGATAGAAACTGACAAGCAAAACCTAAAGTGACCCAAGCTGAAAATCCCGATCCCAGAAATGACGCTGAAGAAACTGTGAAGGAGCAGACATGCCAGCTTCAGTACTGGTTCAGGAATGCGGCAGCCGAGGCAGGTCCAGGTAGAGAAACAAAGGGTGAGGAGACAAGATAGAGATGGCAGAAGACACACCTGTATGCAGTCGATCGACTGTCGGAGAAAAGGCTACTTAATTCTAGAAAGAAGACTCTGTAGCGTGAATTCTAATTGGTCTTAATAATAAAAACCCAGACTCAGATATTGGGGTAAAGGCTGAAAGGTCAGAGAAGGAAAGGAGCAGCCACAGTAACCTCTCACCTCCCCAACTCCTCAGCCTGAAAAGGGTTGAACTCCTGTTTCTACCGCTTTATATTCCTCTCTCTGCCCAGCCACATCACCTCCTGTTTCCTGTCTGTACTGACCTCCAGGCCTCTATGGATAATTAGTGGCTAGCTCCACCCTCTGATCTTTAGGCAAGCTTTATTTGTTAGAGCACAAACAAAATATCACCACAAGAATCTTTTAAACAAAATGTACAGGAACCATTGGAGTGTGTGTGAGTGTGTGCGTGTGTGAGAGTGTGTGTGTGGTGCATGTATGTGTGTGTGAATGGTATGTGTGAGTGTGTGGTGTGTGTGTGCATGTGCATGCATGTGTGTGTGTGTGTATGTGTGTGTAGAAGGAAAATTGGAAAGAAACTGCATAGAGCTGTGATATAGATATCAAAGCATGTATAGCAACTAGCTCAGAATAGACCAGAGACCTAGATGTTAACCCTAAAACTATAAAACTTTTATAAGAGAAGGTAGGGAAGAAATCTCTGTGGTTCTAAACTAGACAAGTCTCATGACATCAAAAGCAAAACCTTTTAAAAATATTCAGTTGGGCTGGGCAGTGGTGGCTCACACCTTTAATCCCAGCACTTGGAAGGCAGAGGCATTATATATATATATATATATATATATATATATATATATATATATATATATATATATTTATATATATAATAATTGGTTTTTACCACAATGAAGGACACACATCCTTCAAAGGATAGTTAGGAGAATGAAATGATATGCCATAGTCTGTCAGGAAATACTAGCAAACCACATAAAATATAAAAGGATGATCAAATTTCAATAATAAAAAAACCAAATGACCTAATAATGGGACGGGGGCACAGGTCAATTTTATGAGGATGGTGGCACTTGAGAATGGAAAGGGTAGGCAGGCAGGATTATTGCAAAGGGTACCAGGGAGCTGCCTGATGGTGGACATGTCACTCACACCACTAGTTTTTTTTTGTGTATATTGATTTTTAACACATACAATCTACAATGTACCAAACTGTACATCAAATATGTACATTTATTGTATGTCAGTCATACCTTTGTAAATTTGAGAGTTCCCATTAATAAATTGTTTAGGACCTCATGTGTTTCTTTGTATCAAGGCACCTTTCTGTTTTTTTCCTTTTTATGTCCATTTTTATTTGTCTTTTACCTTTTTGTGTTTTCTATCCAAATTCTGTATTAATTTTAAAATACCCTACATTATGCTGATATACTTGACAGTCTTAGCAAATTCTTTTTATAGTAAGAGGCAGTACGTTACTATTTTCTCAAGAGGATCATGAGATATGTCGTTTAAAGACTTCAGGAAGCCTCTTTATAGCTGTCTGTTTAAAATACACGTGAAAAGCTGGTGAGGAGACTTGGCCAATCAAGGTACTTGCTTCCAACCCATGACCGGAAAACCCAAAGGACAGAGGGAGAGAACGGACTACTACAAGTCATTCCTTGACCTCCACATATGTGCTGTGGTGTGTGTGTGTGTGTGTGTGTGTGTGTGTGTGTATGTGTGTGTGTACATGCATACACACAAAAATAAGTAAGTAAATAATAAACGTAATTTCAAAAGAAAACAAAATGCATCATGAAGGGGGTTGTCTACAGAACGTGACTCTTATCTATTTTGTGTGATCAAAATTTTTGCTACATTGCCTAATCTCCTACATTCACTAATTCATTCATTTATTCCTCCACCAAATGTATTTCTGTGACAGGATTTGAAAATACAAGACTTTAATAGTAAATTTACTCGAATGAACAACTGTGTATAGCTGCAGTTTATGTATTACATGAACCCCTACTAATGTTAAATGCAGAATTCTGACATCTGAGTGGTTTGATTTTGACATATGCTTTAAAAATAAGAAAAATGCCAAATGCCTCCATGAACCTCTGTATCTGGAGCACAGAATTATTAATGAAATCGAGTTCTTGTTTCAAAACTAAGTTTTCTGAACTGTACCATTTGGTGTGTGAATTCATGAGTGCAGTGGGGATGGAGGGGCTGCCCAGTCGGTGCGATTTCTGTTTCTCAATACACAAACCCCTGCTTGAAGATTTATTTATTTTTTCTCCTCAGGCAAGGAAGATTCCTGTCCTTTTTAATTTCCTTTTCTTGGGCATGTTACAAATATCCTCCCTGTGTTTCTTCAGGTCTATTGTAGTGGAGCCAATTCTTCATTTTCTCTGCCTCTCACCTGCTTCTGTCTACTTATTTGTGTATAAGATGTCAAAGGAAAGCCAAAGGCAACACCTCAAAATGCCACCTTGAAAAACGAAAATGCCAACAAATTCTTTTCTGCACCTGAAGCTTTTAATTCTTTAATCCACCATGGAATGTTGCTTAATTACATATTTTATTATGCAGAACTGAAAATTATGTACTTTAGTTTCCAAAATGATAGGAAAGCACGAACTGTTTCTAAATAAAAGAGAGGCTGGTTTGCCTCTGGTTTTTCTCTTACATGTATTTGTGGGGTTCTCCTGGGTTTGCCTCTTAAAACTTGGCTTTTTGAAAATTCTCAGGAAGTTCTGGGGAAAAAACAAAATTTTAAGTTTCCTTTAGAAATAAGATTCACTAGTTGGCAAAAAATGTAACATGCTGTTGCGGTATTTTAATAAGCAAATCCACAGGACAGCTGGGTTCCTTTTGTTGATACTTTTGGTCTTAATTCAGTGAATTTCATAAAGTATTAATAGAAAAATGTTAGAATTGTTGAGCTGAAGGATGTCGTTACAGCTCATTTATTTTACATTTCCATGTTTTCTTTTTTGTATATTTTTTGTTTTTGTTTTTCACAATTTTCCTAATAGTTTATGAAAAAATTGATGTGTGTAGCTCTCATTCATATGAAGACAGCAGAATTTTGGGTTATTATTCCAGGGTGAAACATCTCATAGACTTGATTTAAATGAGTGTTCACCTTTTTCTTTTAACAAAATACATGTTTCTTTGTGTTCTGTGGAAGAATTGAATTGCACTGTATTTGAGAAATTTATTGAGAAAATGAGAGAGCTGGATTTGAGGTTAATGTGGCCACTTTGCAGCTAAGCAAGTCAGTTAACCTATTTGAGCTCTCGCTGTCCGCTGGTCTTTGAAGTGAGGGTGTTAGTGTCTGCTGTCAGTGCCTCCTAGTGGGATGGAGAGCTATGGATTATTATAAATAAGACACAATGAGTCTGACAAAATGAAGCACTCTTCAGCTGTTGCTGTTGGTTTAAACATATTGGAGAGTAATGCCAGCAGAGAGGCCTCAGCAGGAAGGCTGCCTTTGTATCAGACAGAGTTAAAACTGCAAACAAGTGGGGTGACACCTGTCCCCACATGGAGATGCTGTTCAGTAGGTCTGTGTCCTGAACAAAATGCTCCTTTGCATTGTGTTGCTATAGAGGAAACGCATTAATGCACACCTTTAAATATGTGTGCTTGAACATTCTGATCTAGCGGGCACTGTCAGATGTTTCAGGAGAGGAAAACCAGATAGAGACAGACATCACTCCTTTCTTGGAAGATGTTAAGGCATGAATTAAGGACTGTCACTAGAATGAAGATTTATTTGAATGTATTTCTGACTGAGCTCACAGTGAAGAAATAATGTTCAGCATTTAACTTGGTGTAAAAGAGATCATTTTGCAGTTTCTCTGCTCTTACCTTGCTCACACTCCACTGCATCCACTCACAAACCACAATTAAAGACAAGTCCAAGTCAAGTGCTTTGGCTACAGTTAGGTGTATTAGCAGCTGGAAGTAGCCAATAGGAAAAGATGACTTCATACCCATCTTTGCCACAAGGGAAATAACCGTGATTGAATTTTAGTAGTGTTCTTTTCATAAAATTAAATGTGTGTATGTGTATATAAATATACATCTGTATAGAAGAATATAAGAAAGGCTTAAAAATGTAGCTCATGTTTTAAACATTAATTCCAAACTATTTTTATTTAACATATGGTATTGTTAAACAGGTATAGTATTCTTGACATACACCTTCCACCACATTTTGTTAGAGGGCACTTTATATTTTATCAAAAATTGTGCGTATTAATAGGTTGTAGCTCGACTTTTGTCTAAAGACATGCAAGTATCAACTGTTTACATGTAAAGGATTGCTTCAGAGGAAACACTGAATCCAAGAATAGACCCCTCTGAGAATTTCTTCTATGAACATTTTCAATGGCTCCTGCTCTGGAGCTGAGGGTTCCCACGCTGCCATCCACATTTCTGGCTGCCATCAGCACAATAGACTCATCCCCATTGCTCTAATACAGGCCATACACATTTTAATTGCTCTTGTTGAAAATATCACCAGGCAGTTCATAATATCTCATTTATTGAAAATATTGTGACAATCAAGGAACTTTTTATCAGCCAAATGTGAACAACTGGGACCAGGGAAGAATTTGATAATAGCATGAGTGGGACACTCATTTTTAATCACTCCTGAACCATTTAAGTTTTTCTATTCAAGCTATGTAGTTTAGATAAGCATAGTTACTAGAGATACTCCTAGGGGTGGACACTTAAGCTCAGAATTCCTTAGTACTAAATGTCAGTCAATAAACATTTTATACATATGTACAGACTTTGTTATCAAGTGCCACACAAGTAGGGCACACATATTAGCTACCTTCGTTTTCAAAGGTTATATGCCAACTCTGTGTGGCAGGAAGATACTATCAACATCATTTTTTGCATAATGTGCAAGTATTATATGGCCACACAGAGTAATACAAATTAGTGGCAAAGTGCTGAGTGAAGGAATCCATGACAGACTCAGGTGCACACGGTCAAATATTACCTGTGAACTACCTGACTCTGCTAAGGTCTGAATAGCACGAAGCACTATGTCATGCCCAGTGTTTAAACATTTCCAAAATACCGGGACACAATGAAGCTTGTTAAAGAAATTTCACCAATAGCCACAGGCAGCAGGAGGAGACATGGGTGACAATGACATTGGGGAGTAATATGGATCACAGGAGAAATCTTCCAAAATATGCTGTCCTCAATAGTTCTCCACCCCATCGTGATCCTCGCCATTTGCTGACATGTGCTTTATCCTAAAGTAACCAAACCATGCTGACCTTGAAGTTCAAACATCTGCATTCTGATGGCACACCGGTGTTGCTTTCCAACATACTCACTTTCTAGGAAATAGCTTTCAAAAGAATTTAGACTGTTAGGAATGGGAAAAATTTTACTTGCAACCTGATTTCTCCTTCCAAAATACTATCAAATTTTATACCTATTTGATATCATAAGTGTTGGGGTGTTTAAAATGAAAAAGGACATCAGTTTCTACTTGATTTTCTGTCAGATCTTAAGCCTGGGGAAAAGGAGAACGTGGGTGATAATCTTTAGTTGGTGACATGATAGTTTCTTTTCTGTTTTTTTTTTCCCTTTAACATTTGAAATTCAGTTTACATTAATTCAAATGCCTTTGGCTCAAATGATTACTTTCTGAACTCCAGATAGTTTGCATTGTTTTCTCATTTAATAAAAAGAATTGAAATTAGTTTGTAATAAGGCAGCAGCCTTCTAACTTGCTCAGCTGTGTTTCAGAGTAAAGCATTAGAGGAATTTTCAAGGAGTTCATTTTGGGCTAACACAACGGCCATGTAGTCCCCTCTATGAGCTCATCACACCTGAGGAAAAGGGTAACTCAGAGCTCTGGCTCCATGAACCCAAATACCCTCATCAACACTTAGGGGACCTAACAAAGGGATACAAAGAGACAAACAGGAAAACAAAATGAAAAAAAAAAGTTCCCCTAGAACCACAACATGCCTTGCTTACCCTGACTGCTCCTGGGGCATGGTGGATCAGTTTAGAAGGTGGTGTTTGGATTCTTCCTGTCTTCGTGGAGTTCTGAGTTTTGACAAAGGAATCCAAATGAACTCAGGGTTCCTTCCCCTCCTTATCACTTGTAAAACAGATCAAAACCAAACCAAAAAATCCCCTCCCCTAAAACACTTAATATGAAGAGCTCTCGCACAGAAGGTCCATTTTTTCCCTTATTTATGTGATTAATGGCTTTAAAAAATACACCCTAGCTTAAAGAAAAGTATTGCCATAATTGGAGGATTGTGAGAAAAAAGGCAGATACAGCCATCCCAAATACTTAACTGCTAGAGTAATTCATGTTTCTGTTGGAGTCTTTGACTGTCCTGTGTAGTAAGCAAAACCAGATTATCTTCCGCATTGTGAAATCTCATGCCTGCTTAAAACCGAGCATGTGTGTGACTTTAGTATTTCAGGCAAGTGTTCAGGTGCTCTTTTCAGAGCCCTCTTCAGTGTTCAAGAGAGCACCGTGCACCTACACAACCACCGTCCTTGCGCTTGGTCACATAAGCAGACAAACCCTGCCATGGCATACCATACAAACAATTTTAATCGTGTAGTTACAGTCAATAACCACTCCTAATCGGCACATCTCTGCATAAAGAAAATTGTGATACACTTATAAAAACAGCAGCTGTAACAAAATAGCTGGTGTTTTCATAAACTCATAAAAAAAGAAATACACCTTTATACAGAAATTTCATACAGATGTCGCTTTAAAGTTGAGTGTAAACCAAAGGAAGACACATTGCAAACATCAATTATTTTCACATTAATTGCATAATTTTCTAAGGTGATCTATTAGTTTTATTTACCTAAGCTTATTTGCATGATAGTAAAAATTGCATACAACAACGAGAGTGAAGCTTCTAGAGTGAATTGCTTGGATAACATAGACTTTTATAGGCAACTGTGTAAAGCACATTTTCTCTATTTAAAACTTTTAAGACACTTTGTTTTACTGCCCATCAAAATACAGTTATAAATAGAAAGGAAATCAGTATGGTAACAAGAGAAGCAACATTACATTTAACAGAAACTTTCAAAAACTTAATTACAACATGATGCTGCAGGATCTACAAATAAATAAGGAGGACTAAATTGTGTTTCACATTTTCTTTTCCTTAAAAAAAATCATGTAACAATGAGAATGAAAAAAAATTACAGTGAACCTTTATTTCCAAAATAAAAAACAAATTTTAATTACGGCAGTGCCATATAATACAAGGCATTTGTTGGCATATGTCATCTTTAAACTGCATTCCACAGTCTATAGTTCTTTTTTTAACATACAATCGAGTAACAAACTCATTTTTTTTCCTTTTTCTCTTTAAAATAAGGGGCCAGTTTCCAAAGACCAGTGTGGAGTGTTACAGAAATAATGAAAGGAAAGGCAATCATAATCACAGAAGTTATAATGCTTATTTGAGGCTCCAGAATAGTAATAATTAAAAGGAAAACCAATCTCTGGTATCATGCTGACAGGACGCACACCGTGGTGCAGCCCTTGAACACAAATTCTACCATCAGACAACGCAGGACGCTTCACTGGGGCTGCCTTGCAGTCCGGAAAACAGTAAAACCCACTTTAGTGCTGTCTGTCATGTCCTTCCAACTTCCTGTTTGTGCAAGTTTCTGAAGATTTATTGGCCAAACAATAAACAATGAACGTTTTCTGCGCGAACACAAGGTGGGCTTTTCATTTTGTTAGTAAATACCAGTGGTACGAATGAAAATAACACTTTTCTCAGTCTTTCAAGTCGGCGTTAATGTCCGTGCTCCCTTCCACTGACAGCTCCTCCTCCAGTTTCACAGAAAACAGGGTGTTGGCGTTTTTATCCTGGACACTCTCTTCCAAATCCTTCAGCAACTCCTCCTCTTTGTATTCTGCCACATCCACTTCCAAGCCGGAGTTGTCCTTCAGTTTGCCATGGTGCTTGAGATAGTACCGCTGGTTCTGAAAGAACTTGATGATGGTGTACTTGGGGAGGTCGAGCTGTGCAGACAGAGTCTGGATGGCCTCTTCATCCGGGTACAGGCCCACATCTTGGATGAAGCTCTGAAGGATCCCCAGGGCTTCCACAGAAATTTTGGTTCGTGGCCTGGTCTTCTGCCGGTTTTCCTCGTCGGACTCCGCAGAGGAGGCCACCGTGGGCTGCCGTGGGGGCAGCCTGGGGCCTGCCTGGGGCTGGGGCTGCGGCTGTGGAGGAGGAGGTGGCGGCTGCTGCTGCTGCTGCTGCTGTTGTGGCTGCTGCTGCTGCAAAAGACAAACAAACAAGAGTCAGAGGCGCTGGGAGCCGCTGCAGTGAGAGTGGGTGCTTGCCAAGCCCGCGTCTGAGGAAGAGCGGCCGGTTAAACAGCCCACAGCCTTTATTAAATAAATAAACACACTTCTGAGCTCGGAGCTGGGCAGCTAGGAAGCAGCGCAGCTTGCAGGGCTACTGTGCTCACTTATCAGCGATCTGTGGAGGAGAAAAACAGCTGGGAAAAAATGTGAGCCTCGCTCGCACTCTCTCAGAAGGGTTCTCACCAAAGGCGGCCAGCAAAGCACATCATGATGTCATTAATTAACAAAGACTTAAAAGAAGAATCCTTCTTAGATTCCAGGGACAATGTCAGAAGGTTGAGCTACCCAGCCCCGGGGAAAGCACTGTGCCTGGCCATGCTGCATCTGTGGCTGCACCCTGGAGGACAGCTCAGCAGCCGTGTCCTTTATTCTGCACACCTCTTGGAGGTGCAAGGATGTTGTCTCAGACAGTTCCAATCCCCCCCCCCCCCCCCCGCGCGCGCGCGCACACACACACACACACACACACACACTTTCCTACCAAGTTGCACTAAGCTAACACTACGTTTTTTTCCTTACCCCCACCAAATAAAGGTTCACTCCATTGTACACCAGCTGGCGAATTGTTTTGTCTATAGTAAACTAGGATGTGATTAGGCTTTAAATTTAATGTATACAGACACTTTTTCATAATTAGTATCTGCATATGTGCTGTAATTCCTGTACACAATTATATGTAACAAACGTGTGGCATGTGTCTACTGCGCACTCGACATCCATAATTCTTATCAGCCAAGCCAATCAACCCTGGGTGCTCAAAGCCGCAATGTATTAGAACATTTGTCCTGTGCTTAAGCATTTCCTCTTATCCCCCTAAGAAGCAATTTTATTAAAAACAATTTACATTTTCAAACAAGTACTATTTTTATTACTTAACATATATCTTTCTTGTCTTTGTTTTAGCTGAAACAGTCGGTTTTTCAGGCTTTCACAATTATTTTAGTGCTTAATATCCTGAGGGATTCTCTTTTTCAATTTGTTTTATCTTTAATAAATACTCAAGGATTTTTTTTCCTGGTGGATGGATAACTCTATTATTTTAGCTACAGATATCCGTATTTTTCACAGACAGCAATACCAGGAAGGAGTGCGGGTGATTCAACAAAGATGTTAGGCAGGTTTCTGGGGCCCTAGAGGCAATGGCATTTCCCTTCAAGGAAAAAGCTAAAAACAACCTTCAGATTTAGCAGAAATAAGTTACACAGCTTAAATTCAACTAGAACATGCTGTTTAAGTTCCTGAAGCCACAGGAGCTCCACTGTGGTCTGGTCCACAGCCCTTTAATCAAGTTTCTCATGGGCTTCCACAGAGGTTGCCCCACACAGGCGACATCAAGCACAGCTAAGTGCTGGCACTATGGGCTTTGGCCAGAGCCATGGCCGTTCCATTACCGTCCTTTGCACACCTGAAAACCCTAGCTGAGGGAGCTGGCCTTCACGACACCTTTCCCCCTTTCTCCTGGCACAGGAACTGGTGCCAGCTCACCTGAGGAGCAGCATTGGGCCATGGTGCAGGGCTCGGCAGGCCTGGTAAGAAAGCAGCTCTAGACTCTCCTTTGCCAAGGGTGCTGGGAGAGGGGCTCTAAGGAAAGACAAACAGACATGACTCACCCTGTCCTGCCCTGGGGTGGGTGGGGGTGCTGTGTGAGGTGAAGGCGGGATGAGGAACATTCAGCAAGATGGGTTTCCCTCCCCTTCACTATGGAATGAAATGTGTGACTGTCCTCTATGGCACACTGGTGGTCCCTTTCCTCCAGGGCAGTATGGTTTTAATTAGGAAGCAGTTTTAAGTTCAATTTTAAAAAACACACCAACAGGTATGTTCTAAGCTTTCATAATCAAAACCCAGTGCTAACCAAGACACCCTTACTACACTAGCAGTCCAAAATGGGGTTCCTGCCTCATTAGGGTGAGTAGACTACAACCCAGCAGCCGGAAACAGTGTGTTTATCCTCCTTTTATCCTGAGCAAGATGGCAGTGTGCTGCTGTCTCCAGTAAAGCCTGTACGTAGACTGTGGGAAGAGAAGAACCACTAATTTTCCTGCTAAGTTGAAGGCTTTGTTTATTTAGTGCTGCGCGGAACTGGCCAAGGTAAACGAACCTGAATCTGTTCTGCTGGAACATGGATGATGTGGGGTGGCCTGTCGCCATGGTGATGCACAGCGTTGCTCTCCTGCTCATAGATGGCATCGCGCTCAGGCTGAGGAAGACTGAGGAACCTGCGGATCATGGACAGGTTCTCCCACAGGGTCCTGTTTTCTGGAGAAGGATCTTCTTTCCAGCGCAACAGCTCACACAGCCATCCCTTAGGAGGAAAGGGCGACAGGTCAGTTAGTTTGTGCTGGAATCTTCCACAGATGCTGAAAAGGAGGCTCCAATAGTTAACTTTTTCATCACACATCACTCCAATCTGCTTTAATATTTTTTCCTTTGAATCCATTAGGAGAGGATAGCTGTACCTATGAGGAAGCAGGCTGTTTCTGATTAATGTGCAGATCGATATCTTCATGGGCAGACACATGGGCTGGGAAGATGGCTTAGGCAGTCAGTGCTCACTCTGCAACTACCAAGAGCTGAGTCTGGATCCCCGGAACCATATAAAAACCTGTTACCTGCCACCCCAGTGACAGGGTGCAGAGACAGACACCAGGGGCTGGCTTACCAGCCAGTGTAGTGAAAATGGGGAGTTTCAGGTTCAATGAGACCCTGACTCAAAAAATAAGGTGGAGAGCCATAAAGAAAGACAACTGGACACCAGCCTTTTGCCTGGACACACATATGCACAAGCAAGTGCATCTGTGTGTTTGTGTGTGCACGCACACGTGGGTGCAGACACACACACACAAAGAAGTAAGGACAGACATTTTCACACTCATTCATCAGACTCTGCCGTAAGAGTGATGGGTTAGAAACAAAGGCGAGGGCAGGTGCAACCCCGCCCAACCTTCTTGTTCGCCAGTGGCCACGGAAGGCATGGAGGTGGCAAGTCAGAGTTCTAGAAATAAACTGTCCTCAAAGGCTTTCCTAAGCTCACACTTTTTGTTTTAGAAAGGAAGCTCACACACACACACCCCGAGAGAGAGAGAGAGAGAGAGAGAGAGAGAGAGAGAGAGAGAGAGAGAGAGAGACAGACAGACAGACAGACAGACACACACACGGGGGAGGGGAAAGGAAGGGGGAGAGAGAGACAGAGACAGACAGAGACACACACTGGCGAGAGGAGGGAGGAGGGAGGAGGGAGGAGGGAGGAGAGAGAGAGAGAAACAGAGACAGAAACAGAGAGAGCGAGCGCATGAATATATTTGGCTTTATTACTATGGGCATTAGAAGAGTTCTTCAACAAGGTCCTTTCTTAAAGGGAACCTCAGAGTCCTGTTTTTCTGTCAGCTGTAGCACATGCGTATGACTTGTCAGGCAAGAACTTTAGTCAGTTTTTAGGGTGAAGAGTGAAGGGCAAACTCTGTCAAGGACCCAATCTGACCCAGTGTGATTCTCAAGTCTTCATGTCTGGATGGTTCAACAGAGGACTCCTACTGCCATCTCCAACTTTCATCCCATCCACCCTCCTGGACCGGAAGCAATGGGGTAGGAGAGAGGGAGGGGCAGTCTCCAAGGGAGCCAATACTGCCACTTCTCACTGGACTGTCCGGAGACACCTCACCTGGACACACTGAAGGCAGCGCCACTCCCTCAGCGCCCCATCCCCCCGACCGGTGATTGGCGTACAGACTGGTACACTGTCCTGTGCCATGGACAGCACTCCCATCCTGTGCACGCTGCAGAGATGCTCTTCCCCCTTCTTCTCCTCCCCCACAGACCTGAGGTCACTCTATGTCCTTCCTTCCCGCCATTCTCCCTCATTCCCTGAGTAGGAAACCCGCTGGGGCTCTGCCTTTGGGAACTACTCTAAAATGAAGGCTTTCTTGGAGATTTCCAGGAAGCTGGCTGGACAGGACACTGTGCCTCCATTATGAGAATTTTAGATCTATTCACGGAGGGTTCTGCTTCTTATGTTACTGCAAGATGAAACCAGACGATTGCATGTCTTTCTTTCTGTTTTCAAACTGGATGAACCTTTCAAAAGGAACTTCAATTTGTGATAATGGTGAAAGAGAACAAGGCCTTCTTCTCCTGGAGTTGGTCTGAAAGATTGTCTGAGAGATGACAAAAGAAAAGACGGGGCTGACACATGAGCTTCCTACTAGCCGGCCAGAACACTCACGGTTCTTGGTGAGTTGTACAGGCTTTACTGTTGCTTTGTTTTCTTTTGGGGTTCAGTATAAAACCCAGGGCTGTACACACACCAGCTAAGTGCCTCTAGGGAAGACTGGATCCTTTAACAGTTGTTTTTAATTAAGCAAACACACACACACACACACACACACACACACACACACACACACACACAAATAAATGTTCATGTGTATATATGTGTGTGTATGTATGTATGTGTATATATATATATATATATATATATATATGTGAATGCTCACATATCTGTGTACACACACACACATGAATGGTCATATGATAATGCTTTCATTCAATACCACCGAACACACAATTCAAGATGAGAAGGGGCAGTACCCTGAAGATTTAACCTGAAAGAACAACCACTAAAAAGGAAAAACAAATCTGCCCTGATGACAGAGTCCTGGAGCTGCTTCTCACCTGACCACAGATCCCTGTGCTTACGTCCAGACTGCTGTGGGATGTCAGAGCTGGGCTCTACTTGAGAGAATAGAACATAAACTACAAAGCTGACCTTGAGTATTTACAGTGGAGACACGCCTACCCTGAAGATATTATGTAGTTCTTATGGGTAAAACTCTTGCTATTTGGAGCAAGTCATAAAAATATCACCTATTTTCCTAGATCCAAGCTATTTCCTTACACCACATCTCTAAATTTTGTGGCAGGATAGATCTTAGATACGTCTCCATCTCCCTGGAGGCTTGTCTGCATCCTGCAGCTGTGACCTCTGACAACCTGGATGCCTGGAAGCATGGTCTATTTCAAGAGAAGCGAGAAGGCTTGAGAAGAGGGGAAGAGGCCTTCTGACTTGGCTGGTCCCACTGGGTACTGAACACTGAGCTGTTATCATTTTTACTTTTTTTTTTTAGAAATAATTTTTTTAGATATAAATCCATGTAGCTGAAAATTGCCAAGAGTTAAATTAAGAATGATTTGTGTCAGAAAAGCTTCTTGGAGAGTGCTGAACACACTGATGGCCTCACATCCTTCAGAAACTTCTATAAGGAAGGCAGAGATCACTTGGCACTTGGATGTAAGTGAAAAACATGTGGATCACAGATGTTCTTTGGAAGAGAAAATCATTAGTTCTTTTAAACCAGCTAATAATGACAGCTAATTTCTAAATAATCACATTCATGTGGTTTTAACAAATATTTCAGAAAGAGAACTCTGACTCCTTCAACAAACATTTTGTCTATATTGTCACTTCTGTGCTCTGCACTTCCCAGACAGATCCTTATTTTTATTAATTGCCCATGACTAACATCACACTTCCAGTACTTTGCTATTAACCTCTGCCCTTAAATAATACTTCTAATTCCTTATCTAAAAATAATGCGACGAATCTGCAGTTGAAACGTGTTTCCGCCTTTTAGAGACAGGACAAGGCTGAAATGACTACAGCAGACGCGTCATGCAAAAATATCTGACGGTGCATCTGGGAACTGTTAGAACTCCACAAGGGGATTCAAAAAACGAAGAAGAAAACAAAGAGGGGTGTGTTTGTGTGTGTGATCTCTTAAATAATGGGAAACGGACGTTTTGACACCTTTTTGTTCTTTTGTCACAATAGAAATAGACTGATAAATTCCCAACCAGGATTGGCAAAAAATATGATTAACCTGCTTTTATACTAAATACCTTGGAGTACTGTGGCTACCTCAAATTCTATTGCTTTTCACCCCATTGGTCATGACGGTGATCTGTGATTTGAAGGCAGGAACTGAAGAGGACATAAATGCCTTCTCCTTCACCAATCATGTGTCTGAGGCTGTCCCCTAAACGTTAGAATGGATGCATTTGGAAAGGTGATGGAGAGGCCTGCGTGCTGCTGACATCAAATTAAACCGAGAACCCCCCAGGAGTGCCATGCTGCTTAGGAGGAGAGATCAGAGTGAGATGCGGAGCTTTGTTGTGAAATGTGAACTTTATCCTTTTAGAAGAGGTCTCTGGGACCTGATGTGCTGTGTACAACCAGAGGCAGGAGGCTCAGGAGACTACTCTCAAATTCAATTAGATCACGACTCTTTGAACGGCAGAAAAGACGGGACGAAGAAGCCCTCATCAAATGACGGGACCAATCGGCTCTCAGAAAACTAAAGTGGTACAAGGAACAACCTCAACTGTAAATGTAGTAAATGTGCCAAGCAACATCACACTGCATCTAATGAGGGCAAAATATAAACAGTAGCCACATGTAAATCAATTAGTACAACTTTCAGGATGTTACTACTTTTCAAACTGACAAAGTTTAATTTGACACCTTCTGTTCCAAACCCTTTGTTTCTATTCAAAATCACGCCTTGAGCTGTTGGTATCAATCACAGCACTCCCTATTACTTTAAAAAAAAAAAAGAAGAAAGAAAGAAAGGAAGAAAAAAACCTGGCATGGACCCCGAATAAGCTGAAAATGCCATGCAGATAAATTCTGAGATAATATGTTCAAACCTGTTATATACAACACAAATCCTGTAAAGTTATGTATTGTAAACCTACATTTATTGAGAACTAAAAGTCTTAAATCCATCTGCCACAAAGGAAATACTGTTATGTACTTTATAGTAACCAACAGCCATCTGCAAATGTCTTGCTACTGTAAGCAAGAAAGCGGTGCAGAGGAGGGTAAAGTGAAGGCGGGAATGAGGAGCATCCTTCTGACTGGTTTTGGTTCGGGATCTAATAAGGAAATGTAAGATTGGGGGAGAAACGGGAAAGAGAAAAAGCAGAGTGACTGCCAAACCCGTGTTACAAAAATCAAAACAAACTCAGAGACAACACAATGGCAATTTATTATGGTCCATGAAACACACGACTGTATGCTCATTTTAAAGGAAAAATTAGCAGTTCCAAACTCAATATTCTAATGATGTGCTTGCTGACAGAATCTTGTTGTGCCACATTCAAATAAAAATCCTGGCACCTCCATCTCTCAGCTGCTAACTTCCAACCAAACTCAATCTCTGATTCCCATGCCATTCTTTAGAGCAGTGAGTTCGAGGCAATTCAATGCTTCCATTTTAACACAAAAGGGGTACCAGTGACTCTGAGGTA